AAATTTTAATCTTGCTACAATAAGTTAACGACTGCCTTATTGTTATAAAATTAATATTTATCCTTGTATCTTCTTCCATCGAAACAAGTTGCCTAGCAAAAATAATTTGTTAATTAAACTTTAAATCTTGTAATCCAAGTCATTTTTTGTAAATCTTGAGTGAGATCAAGAAACTGAATATTGATTTGTGTAGAATTGAATTTCCGATTATTACTTTTATCTTTAAATTTGAAAAAGATGGTTAAGTATTTTTGGATTAGTATATTGATTTGCTATAGCATTATTTTTTGGTATAGTTTTGCACTGCAACTTTAAAAAAGTGATATTGATTTGTATAGTTGTGCACTGCAATTCTAAATAAGTGATATTTCTTTTAGTTATTCATTTTTTTTGGTATTGAAAGCACTAGAACATATAACTACAAGTATAGAAATATCAATACTCTTTTCTTTAATTAGCAACCCCTTTTTATTAATCACCTCTTCGAACACACTCTTCCAACCCCTCTTTTCATCTTTGATAGTATTATTTAATAATTTCTATCAAAATTGGCACAGGTTTAGATACTTATTTTTTGCACTGACCAATTTTATTAGTCTATCCCTCTCTTCTAACTCATATAACTCTTTTACTAATAGTGAAGAAACTCTTCATTTAAAGTAATTGTAGTAGTAGATTTAATATAAAATTGATTTAATGGCTCACCTAGACATTTTCAGTAATATTGCTTTCCATCAGAACTGAAAATCTTAAATTTAGACTCATCAGACCATATAATCTTTTATCAATCTTTGATGATCCAATTTTTATAATTTCGTGCAAATTCCAACCATTTTATTTAATGTTCTTTGCTTAGGTAAAGTTTTTTCTTTATTTCTGATATCAAACCATTATTCCGTAATATACAATAAATAGTAGGTGCTAATATATTAATATTCTTTTTTTTGTATGCATTTTTGAATTTCTACCGCAGATAAATACTGCCAGGAGGCAATAAGATTAACAATTTTTTATTGGTTCATTTATAGTAGGTGGTCAACCAGATCTTATTATATCTTCAAGAGAATATTATTCCTGTCATCTTTTATTAATATAGAAAACTGTTGAGGAATTGATATTTTTTGATTTTGCTATTTGTCTTGTAGTGTATCTGTTTTGGAGTGAAAGGAGAATTTGTGCCTGTTCTTCTGGAGTCATATAGCATTTTTGCACTTGAAATTTTTGATCAAAAAGCTGCAAAATAATATGATATGTAAACAATATTTGATAAAATTATCTTTTATATAACATTTATATAGCACAACTATGACTGCTTGATTTTTATATAAAATAATCATAAATAATGCAACATGTATTTTGTACTAATCACGTATTTATCTTGAAATTGGAAATAATAATGACTATTAAGAATTTAATATATAAAAATAATACTATTAGCAAACAAAATTATTAAAAAACAAAAAGGATATCTTCTAATTTTTGTGAAATATTTCGATTCAAAAAAAATCTTTTTTTTGTTGCATTAATTATGATTGCTATTGTAAGTATACTTTAGACAAAATTGATTATATTTATAAATAACATAAAGTTATATGATCTAAAATTATCTTATATACATAAACTTTATATTTAAAACCAATTTGTTTAAAGTCACAATTTTTTAAAGTTATCTTTTTAAAATTTACTATATATTATACAAATAATATATCTTTAGACAGAATTACTATATTAATTTTATGATTGAAATTATTTTAAATTTTAATTATAGTATTTGCAATATTTATTACTTAAACTGTTCAGTAAACAAATTTGCTGCTAAAATTTTTTTAGCTTATTTTTGTATATTTATTTCTAATTTTTATAAGTTTAATCCTCTCTTTTTCTAAGCTAAAATAAATATATAGTTTATTTTTAATCAATATAATATAAATTTATAATTTTTATGTATAATTGCTCAAAATATTTGTAATTCATTCTGTAATTTTATTATAAAATATTTTTAAAATTTAAGATTAATAATAAAAATTTTTAAAATTACTTAATTTTAATTTATTGACAACTATAATTTTTTTATAATTATTAAAAAAGTGAAAATAACTATTATATAATATATAATTAAAGCTAATATTAAACAAACTTTTTTTAAAATATTCAAAAATATATTAGATATAATTTTAGAAGACAAATTTGCCACTAACCTGATGGTTTAAGAGATAAATGTTAATACAAAATCAAATGTGCTCACAAAAGAGAAGCAGATACACATAATGCTATAAAAAATATAAGTTTTAAAATTTAACAACTCTTTTATTATAGAATAAAACATTTTGTTATAAGTATGATGATAACAACAGGCTTAACAAATTTGTACTACATGTATTAACGTTAATAACGATAACACTGAGATTACACATCACGAGACAAAATTTTTTGATACATTTCCATAATTAAACAGATTTATTTGCTTTATAGATACACTACGTATATGGAACTAGTTTAATTATAACAAAAATCTTAACATAGTAAAATAAACAATATATGTTATGAAAATTTATTATAAAGGGTTCAACTTATTTCAATCTATTACAGAGGCTCCTTCCTTGACTAACAAGCAACAAACAAATTCGACCATGAATCATGTGTTGCTATAACTTGTCACCTTACTGATTAAACCCGGACCTGGTGGACTTAACCTTGGAGACGGTGGCGGTGGCTTTCGAAGAAATGAACCACAGAAAGGAATGTCATCTAAATAAAAAAACACTACCGACAAAGTTATTGGTAATAAATATCACCAAAAGCCTCATCTCCATTGGTAATAACGCCAAAATTTCCATCTCTATTAACACCAAGAATTACACCCCCATTGGTAATACCACAACTACTATTATCATATGAAATCGGAATAGAAAATTTACTAGTATTACTGATATGACAATAAGAAGTAAATATTTTTGATTGAAAATTAAATATATATTTCAGATTTTTGAAAGTAAGTTCTCGAAGTAATTTCAAATATAAACGTTTAGGCAATATGTTTCGACAACAAAAATTTTTATTTTATAAAAAGGTAATTTTTATTGTCATTGAAACATGTTCAAGACTGTCAAGTTTCTTATTTTAGAAAATTTATAGACAATCCAAATGTTGATTAGAACATTCATATAATCTATTCTTAGAAAAGAAGTCCTCGTTATAAATATTACTATAATTTGCTTGTTGAATGGAATATCTCTGTTTCATGACTAAATTTATAAATGAGCGATAGTATTATAGAATTCTGCGCAATTATATTATGGTATTACCTTATACGTAAGTTTGAATAAAGTCATCAGTAGGAAAAAGCACAATTAATGCGTGAATAAATATTTCTCTACTCTGTTAAAGAATAAATATATATATCGATATGTATTTTGTGCTTTTTCTATAGGCTTTCCAGATATTTGACGGTTGGATTTTTTTTTAAAGTTATTATTGAAAGTTCAATCAGTGTTAACCTCTTTTTCATATGGCTTCCAAATAATTTAAGTTAGAGCTTGGATCGAAAAAATTTTATGCTGAATAATGGATGGTCATATCTGCTTAATTCTATGAAATTTCTATATAGTACGTATTAATGTTAAGATTTTTCTGATCGTTAATTCTAGATGTACATGTACGTAATAAGCGTCATACTCCGAGATCCAAATTCAAAAGTTTTCTGTTTGAGGCTTTGTACTCTTAGCAGCATTAATACGAAAATCTAAATTCAATTGTGAACAAGAAATTTCTGAGATTATTATATACCGTTTCTTTTTTCAAAAGAGAAACAATGGATAAAAGTTCTTGTTTTATTGAAAAATATGTACTTGAAAAAGATCATATGACATAAATGGTGGCCGACCAAATGAAGCCTGCTACTGAATTTGTAAAAGTTAACAATTTTCTTTATAACGATAAAAACTTATATATGCATCTATTATACATGTATACCACATCGATATTATTTGTTCTTCACTAATGTATGATTTAGATAAACTTAACGTTAAATAGCATGTTTTTATAGTAACATATATCAATATACATGTAATTTAAACTAAATTCTATAGCAACATATATCAATATAATTTAAACTAAATGTTATCATTCATATCGATATACATGTACATGTATTATCGTTATAATTACATTTAGAAACTGGATACTCTATCAATAGCTGGAACCGACAAACTCAATACCCGATAGCCTACAACCAACTACTCGACATCAAACTCTCATTCAACGACATCCAACTCACCAATGACGCCACACAGAATTCACCGCCGCTACAATACACATTCGCAACATATGTTACAGCGATACGTGAGATTCTGTAAGAAAAGACACAACGTCGTCGTTGTTGTCGTCAAAGTACACGAGACACCGCCGAATTCTATTATTGCTCCGGGACTGAGTTATTTTTTTGTGTTTGGTGTGCTGGTTGAAATGAATGTTTATGTTTTGTTGGGATTGAATAGGCATATTTTCTTTTTGAGTATCATTTTAAAATGTGTTTCAATAACGATAAATTCCGAATTAAGAAATTATCATAGTTAACATTTATCATACGTATTTTGCTGTGTATAAGCAACTTGTGACAAATAAATGTTTTCAATAAATATGTGATACTTAATATAATAAAATACATGTGATAAATTAAAAAAAGTTACTAATGTCACAAGTTGCTTTTACACGGTATTCTATTCGTCAAATTTTTGGCTTGGCAATCTTGGCAATGTACATGTAGTTATTATTATCATTATATTGCTGTGCATTCTATGGAGAAATTCTTAAATACAATGGATTTAAAATCTCCTGTCGAAAATAAAAAAATAATGATGAAACCCAAAAATAATCTTCGCATTTCGCTGCTAACATGTATATTATTGATAATAGTTTACATCATTTCATTGACATCCGCGGAACAAAACGACTGTTCGAAATTATCTAACAGTGGAGTAAATGGTAGCAATGGGTATGGGTATAATGGTGGATATGGTACCAATGGGTATAGTTCTGGAGGAAATGGTTACGGAGGAAATGGTTACGGACAAAATGGTTACGGAGGCGCTGGTATCATAAACAATGGTATCAATACCGCAAATGGTTACGGAGGAAATGGTTACGGTGGCGGTAATGGAAGTGGTTACGGCGGCGCTGGTATAATCAACGGGAACGGAGGAAATGGTTACGGTGGCGGTGATGGTGAAAATGGTGTTGGTTACGGCGGCGCTGGTATAATTAACGGGAACGGTGGTTTCGGTGGCCAATGCACACAATGTCTAAGCACATTAAGTTCTTTAACCGTAAACTCTGTTCAAAACGACACACGATCACCACTAACCTGTCAACACTACTCCAGATTAGTCACACAAATATCACAAGGGGAAGCATCGTCAAACAGTAAATTCACTGGTGACCAACGCGGATTAAAATTCACTGCGAACTCTAATTACACTTTTCTCAATGGCGAAATTCAAAATTTTTGCTCGTCATCGAATCCTTGTGATAGTTCGACTTCGGTTAAAGGTTATAAACAAATATTGAAAGACTGTGCAACGGAATTGAGTTCTAATAGTTATGATGGTATTTTAGCGAAGCAGTATTTTCTTAATTATTACTTCGCGTCACCTGACTATACGAGTTTGTGTACGCCAGGTTCAAAGGGAGGTGTGTATGAGAATCTGAATTACCAGAGCATTGTAATTGTTCTTTTTATTATTCTTTATAATTGTTTGAATTTTGTTTAGGATCCGCATGGAAACAAATTGGCGTCCTAGAATTCGACTACATCACCAAAAACTTTTCGAAAAATGATTCCACAATATACATCAAATTTCCATTACAACCACAAATACATTACTCGTTCTCCAATAGCCGTGACGACAACACAGAAAAAGTTCCGGCATCGATCCTGTGCAACGACGACTACAAAAAAGTCTCCAATATATATATTGACTATGTGGCCGCGAATTCTGTCGACTCAAAATTCGCGTCTTTGATTTCGGTGGTAGATGAATTGAAGAGTAATTTGTCTGCGAATAGTTGTTCGGGTGTTGATGTCGCTAGTTCTTCAAAAGAGAATGATACCTTGACGAGTGATGGAAGTAGTAGTGGTGGTGGAATGCATGTTGTAGGAATTGTTGGTAGTGTTGTGTTGGGGATTTTAACAATGTTTATTTTGCCGTTCTTTTAGTTAAATTTTTGATTATTCTTTTAGGTTTTGTTATCGTAAAATGTTTCAATTTTCTCTTTTAATATAAAAATCAATTGGCGTTGTCTATAAATACAGTGGCTTACTTTATTATCAAATCACACAAATTTTATAAACCGGAAACACTAATCTAAAAAGTTGAGCCGTTAATTAATTAACTTCATCTAGATACTATATTATAGCGATTGATAAATTGAAATGGTAACTCGATATTGGAAAAGGTGGTGAATTTTATCGTTATGTAATTTTTATATTATTTATTAATAGCCATCCATTTAATAGTCATTTGAGACATTTATATAGTATTCGATAGAAAATTTTTTACTAACGCTAATAGATTTTTTAAACCTACTTTGGAATATCCAAGAGTCATTAGTCTCGTTTTCTCTTGTTAGTTGCGAAGTTCTTTCCCCTGATTGACGATAAGTGGTATCGGCATGTGTGATCCTTGAGACCGTTTTTGTATGTACATAATTGGTTTACTAAAAAATTATCAAATTAAGATTTGAATTTTTTCCATGGGAGGGGAGAGGCGGCGGTCTATGCAGCAAAACACGGCACAAAAAATAAGAAAGATATTTACACACAATATTTAATTAGGCAATCCTATCCTATAGTATGGAACTGAAGCAAACACTGTCCATAGATTGTTTCTTTGATTAATAAATGGAGCAGAATGAATAGCAATATAAAAAATGAAAGTAACGGTGTATTATTTGAACGGGTTTCTAAATTGGCAAACAATGGCTGCTGCTTGTTCATGTTAACAATTAAAGATGAAACCGTGCTCTTGGATTTGAAAGGAAAAAAATTAATTAAAGGCTTTTCATTACTATCAAAATACAAAAATCTTGAGGCCTGTTATAAACCGGATTATTCAACAAAGATTGATTATAAAGCCTCATGATTAAAAATTATAAGTTCTATCATACTCAGATCTTTAATGTTTTGCAAAATACTTATTTAGATAAAACGAAACAGTTATATTGGAACAGGGCTCAATTGAACTGGTCCAAAAGATCTAATTATATTATGCTCAAATTAAATTCCGGTAGTCCTAAAGTTCAATTCAAAGAATTTAATGTTGACTTTTATTATTATAATATTAAAGCTTATTTATTCTTGAATACTCACGGCAAATAAAAAGTGTCGACATACCCAAATGTTGGTTTGACCAACTTGGTTTATCAAAAAATGATTTATTCAGCTATGTATACTTAATTAGAGTTGTTGTCAATTCAGTTCAGTTCAGTTTGGTTTTGTTTAAAAACTTCTCAGTTCGGTTTAACTATGGTTTATTACACGTGATATGATTTTTTATCATTTATATATTTATTATCTAATATTATATTTAATATTATTAAATCTTGATTAATCTCATTACTAATTAATCTGTATCTATTAGCTATCAATATTATTAAAATGTTCATATTCAATATACTCAGACAATTTTTTTCTTCATTATCATTTATCATTTCTTATTTAACTATCATTTTTCAGCTATCCAACTTTTTAAACATAATAATGCTTGTGTAGTATCAGAATCTAATCGATTATATAACTTAGAATCATGAGTCCTGCAATAAAAAATACTTGTTCACATGGAATATTAGTCACCTGAATAGCAAGATAATTATGTATCATGGTTGATAAAATCAAAAATTGCTTTCTGTGAATTTTTTACCATTATAGTAAATTATATTTATCATCTGTAAGTAAAAAAAGATATCATTCTAATTTGCTATCAATATTTATAAGAGATTATATAGTAACATTAGGTCTAAATTGATTAATAATAGTTCTTAAATATGCATGAGCATTGATTTAATAGTAATATAAAAATCACAAATTCAAAAATAATTGAAAAACATGAAAATTCCAAAAATATTCAAATAACATCAAAATTTCCTAATATTATTTCACTTTTTATTTTTTCACTTTTATTATTTCACTTTTTCAATTTTTTACTTTTTATTTTTCACTTTTATATATATTTTCACTTTTAGTTATTTCACTTTTTAATTTTTCACTTTATTTTTCACTTTTTCAAAATTTCACTTTTCACTTTTATATAAGTTATTTCACTTTTATATATTTTTATAATTATTTATTTCACTTTTTTAATTTTGAAAAATATATAAATAGAGATGCTATCTGAGCCTTAACTCGACATATTATAACTGAAAATAAAAATCTCTCTTAACAAAAATCTTTCTTCAAATACTTTCTGCTTTTTATATTGTCATTATACACTTCAAATCTTGTATATAAGTGATCTTATATTGTATTGAATCTATCAAATCGCTGATAGCTTTATATTATTTTGCACTGAGCAAATTACTGTTATTGACTTTGAACTTTATATCATATTATGCTAAACAAATCATTATTATTAAATTATTAAGCTTTATATTATATTACACTAAACAAATCACTGTATTAGAAATTATTGAAATTGAATTTATAAGTATTTTTATTTTTTGTTATATTGAATTTTTAATTGTTAACAAATATTTCTCACTCGTGAGAAGAACAAAATAAAAGAGTCTTTGTTATTATTATTAATTATATTGTTACAGTAGTAACATAAAAATCGTTAATTTCAAAAATAATTGAAAAATACAAAATATTCAAAAATATTCAT